TGTGTAAACACACAAAACGCATTTATCCATTCTTTTGTTAACGGGATTTTATTGTTACGAGACTTATTTTTTTCTTATAAAAATAACCTTTGACTACTATTACCAAGCATAGCTAGATAACTGGCATCACACTAGGCATCAACTCTAAACAACTAAAAACATGAAAAAAGATAAGGAACAATTATTCTACTTACTGGATAATAGTGCAGGGATGCATCCCTCAGAGAATGAAGACCAACAAGGTGAAGTTTGCCACCAGTACAGATTTCTGCCAGGAGGCATTTACTCCAAACCTACAGGGAAGGAGGAGCCCCAGGAGAGCAGGACAGAACCACTGAGCTGAAAAGACAGAGTAGGGATAGCCAGAAGGCTGAGGGGACTGGAACTTACAGGACAGAATAAGAGAAAGGGGAGCTACACAGATAATGACTTCCTGAAATCTGTACTGGGATTCCATTCAGACTGTGACCAAATAGCAAGCTGTGAGTGCCTGGAGAGACTTCACACCCTAAGAAATACTACTAGGAAAAAACAAACAAAACACCCGGGATCTTAAAAAATACTGGATATTGCACACAGAACAAATTCAAACTCTAACCAGTCAGAGGGATAGAAACTCATTGAACAAATGTGTCATTTAGTAGAGACTCTTAAAAAGTCCAGACCTTAAGACTAGGACTAACCTAGTTGTAAAATAAAGGCTATTCTGAATCTACCCTGACAATAAATAAGCCTCACAAGGATTAAGCTGAACTACAAGTAAATTTGCTGCATGCCAGAAAAAATAATTTTCTTATTGTTAAAATCCTATATAATAAAAGCATAATATGCAAATTGACCAAATGGCTATGGTCAGCATGGGAGCGGAGCCATTGAGCAGGCAAGGACAAACAACAATAAACACACACACACACACACACACACACACACACACACACACACACACACAAAAAAAAAAAAAAAAAAGCCCTGAAGATTAAGCCCTCAAATTATCACATTATTGAAAAATATATCTCCATCAATGTCCAAGCTTAATGAAACATAAGCAGGATAAACAAAAATAAAATACGTCAAGGTACATAATAATCTAATTGCTGAAAAACAATGATAAATCTTTAAAGAGTAGTCGGCCTAGGGTTTTTAATCCAGTGAAAATATTCTCCAAACATAAAAGCAAAATAAAGATATCATCAAACAAAAACAAAACAAAAAAACCTGAATAATTTATTGTAATAGACAACACTATAAGAAATGTTAACAGTATAGAGATTCTTCAAAAATTAAAAATAGATCTACCATACAACCCCGCAATTCCACTTTGGGGTATTTATCTGAATAAAATAAGAAAAGTAATGTTAAACATATTTGCACCCCTCTGTTTTGCTGCATTATTTACAATAGCCAAGATATGGAAGCAACCTAGGTGTCCACAGATAGAGAAATGGATAATGATTTGTATGTATATATAATGAATTATTACTCAGCAATAAAAAAGAACAACATATTGCCATTTTTTATATGGATGAACCTACAGGGTATTATGCTAAATGAAATACAGTAGATAGAGAAAGACAAATACCACATGATTTCACTTATATGTTGAATTTTAAAAATAAATGCAAATAAGCAAAACAAAAACAGATTCATAGAAACAACAAACTGATGGTTGCCAGAGAGGAAGTGCTTTAAGAGATGAGTGAAAAGGTGAAGAAGAATATATTCAATTACATGTGATAACTGTGCAGTGATAGATGATTACTACACTTAGGGTAGTAAACACATGGTAAGATATATAAATGTTAAATCACTCTGTTGTATACCTGAAACTAATATAATTTTGTATGCCAATTATACTTTAGTAGAAAAGAAGCATATTCTATGAAAAAAAAACACTATGTAGGCTGAAAGAAAGCTAACACTATTTGAAAATTCCAATTTTCAAAAAGAAATAGCAGGAATTTTTAAAACAAATGTATGTAAATATAAAATAACATATTTGCTCTTTTTAATTTCTAAAATATATTCACTAAACATAATTTATGGAACTTAGATAACTTTCCTAAGGTTACATAGCATCTTTGTGTCCAAATTGTACTTAAACCTTAACTGTATTCCTGGAGACCAGTGCTCCTAAACAACATGAATTGCTAAAATAAATAAATAAATAAATAAAATAAGAAAGAAATAGATTTAAACAGTTGCTATTTCTAAAACACAGAAATCATAGATGAAACAGTTGATTTTCTAGGGAAATATGAATTTCAAACTCGATGCAGCAGATATTTGAACACAACATAATTAAAGTAAAAAGAATAAATTGAAAATGCTTGTAAAGAAACAAACAAACAAAAAAAACACCCACCCTAACTTTATTGATGGTAGCAGACCCAGATGACTTTTTGTAAGAGTCATATCAGTATTCTAAAGCACATATAATTTATCTCCTATTAAAGCTATCAAAATAGGAGATGGAAGTATCCTGGCATGTTTCCAAAGCTGTCATCTATCACTGTGATACATAATTTGTCAAAGCTATATTGTGAACAAACCACTAGCACACACACACACACACACACACACACACACACACACACACACCAACAAAACTAATAAACTGCATACAATCTCACAATAGTGACACAAAAATCCTAAATTAAAAAATCACGCCCTGGCTGGTGTGGCTCAGGTGGTTGGGTCCCTACACTGAAAGGTTGCTGGTTCTATCCCAAGTCCCCCACCTGCCCAGGTTATGGGCTTGATCCCCAGTTGGGGGGCATGCAGGAGGCTGTCATATCCATATCCATGTTCTCTCTGTCTCTCTCTCTCTCTCTCTCTCTCTCTCTCTCTCTCTCTATATATATATATATATATATATATATATATATATATATATATAATCATAAATCATTTTCCTATACATTAAAATAATGATATGCCATGCCAACTTAAGCGTTATTCAAAAAAAAAAAAAAAGGCAAGGTTCAGTTTTCCTAGATGTTGTCTATATGTACCTAAACAAATAAGCAAAACTATCATCAACACGAATCCAGCAATTTCACTTCTGTTTTATTCCTAAGGAACAAGTCAGAAAGATGTTCAAAAGCACACATGGTCTTTCTCATAGCATTGTTTATAACAGTGAACATTCCTATTGTTCCTATAAAGAAAATACGTGGAAAAACATCCTATCCTTAAGTATTTAATTTATGGTAGAATGTCACAAGAGATGCCTAGTAGTATACACAAAGAAAAAAAATAATAAAAATTCCAGCAGACTGAACAAATAAGGAAAGACTGCTGAAGAGGAGGCATTTAGGACGGATCTCAAGGGATCAGTAGGATTTTAACGGATATGATTGGAAACACACGGAGATGTGTTTCTGGGTCAGGAAATATGGAAGGAAGTAGTGAGAAATCAAACTGAAAAAGTAGAGTAGGTCCAGACCAGAAAGGTCATTAAATATAGATAGTAATAAATAAATCACCAGAACAGAACTGAAAAGCCTGAAACAGAGTCAAGTATGTGAGAACCAATTATATGACAAACACAACCTTCCAACTATTGTGAGGAAGGGAGTGTCAACAATACAGAAATAAATAGTTGAATTCCCTGCCTTACACCCAAAACATGAATATTGTCCAGATGGATCAAAGATCCAACTGTATAAAATTATTTAAAATATCACTAGGAATACTGCAGAAAATATGGACATAAACTTGGGTTTGTAGGTAATTTTATTTTAAAAACAAACAAACAAAAATTCAGAAGTCATAAAGAAGAAAACTATAGGTGTTTGTTTCTCCTAAAAATATTTATAGAATTATATCACAGAATTTTTTTGAGAAACAAAATCTTCAATATTCTAATATTCAAAATACTCTAAGAAATTAATTGAAACAATACAAACAGGGAAACAGGAAAGAATGAAAGAAAAATTAGAAAAGTAACATAAGCAAACATCTCAGAAAAGCACATGCAAATTGCCAATAAATAAAAAGAGATGTTCAACCTTCCTAGAGTTCAGAGAAATATTAATTAAGGTACCAAATGCCATTTTTTACCTTTCAATACTGACAAAAATTAAACAATTAATCACATAAAATGGTGGCAAGAATATGGGGAAACAGTCTCATATATAACAGACAGGTGTGGAAACTGCCACGGTATTATTGAAAAACAATGTGGCAGTACTTATTAAAATGAAAAATGTGCATGCCCTTTGATCCATCAATCCCACTTTTGTGAATGTCTGCTGCAGAAAATAAAAGCAATAGTGCATGATATACGTGCAATGTTGTTTGTAGTAATATTGTTTCTTAGTGGCAAAAAAAAGAAAACAAATAAAAGCTGGGACTATGCTGACTGTTTGACTATAGGGAATGGCTGATTAAATTCTGATACGTTAATACAATGGACCAATATGCAGCTATTAACCAGAATAAGTCCTGAATTGATCTGGGATTTGATTTTTAATAAAAATAATGAATATGAGTTACATGCTTAAACAAAACAAAAATATCATATGTGTAAGTATGTTCCTCATACAGAACAGGTGAAAGATTACATGCAAACTGTATTTGTCACTGCAGAAGAAAGATATTTGCAGGAGTGGGGCCAAAAGGATTCTTAATCCACTTAGCTTAAACTCTTGTTCAATCCCTTGCTCTAAGTATTTATTATTTTGTAATTTCACCAAATCACTTTAAAATAATTTTACAAAGGTTTTAATAATAAAGTATAATGTATTAACAGGCATATACATTATCTATGAATTGCTTTCCTGAAATATGAAAGAAAATGAACTATCTTCTTTGGCATCTAACTATTTACTTATCAGACATTCTGCATGGGAAGTGAAATATGTCAAGCAGCACATGGTCCTTAATTGTGATTACACTTTATTGAACTCAGCCTATTAAGTGCTTAAGTTACCAGATAACAGAATCTATGTCCCTAATAGTGGAAAGTATATTAACGGTATTTTTGCTCCTTATCGTAGCCCAGTTCCAACAATTACATGGATGAAGGTTAATGGCTACATTCCTAGCAAGGCACGGCTGCGGAAATCTCAGGCTGTGCTGGAGATACCCAACGTACAGCTGGATGATGCAGGCATTTATGAGTGCAGAGCTGAAAACTCACGTGGGAAAAATTCCTTCCGTGGACAATTACAAATATACAGTAAGTGTTCTCAGCAAAGAATGATGCTCAAAGTCTCAAGACCCTAACTGAAAATGCAAATTACTTTGAACTAAATATTGTTTTCTAGACACAAAAAACAAGATTTAATTTATAATAATACATCTTTGGTATGATAAAGCATCATGTAAGATTACTGTACATTGAGAAATGATTTAAAATAAAAAGGAATGGGAATTATCAGGTTCTTTGTATAACAAAGAGAGTTTATAAAAAATGAGATGTTTTCCTGGCACCAAAGCCAATGTCTGGGAAGGTTAAGAATCTTTATTAACTTATTCTTACCCTTGGCCTGAGTAACAGTTGTCAGGAGTAGCAATGCATTGCCTATAAATTATATCCTGCTCAGCTATCTTTTTTAAAAATAAAAATTTTATTGGAACACAGCCAGATTCATTTGCTTACATACTATATGTCATTTTTGCACTGCTGGAGCAGACTTGAGTACTTGGGACAGAGAGGAAATAATGCAAAGCCCCAAAATGTCTGCTCTCTTGTCCTTTACAAAAAAACAAACAAACAAAGAAAACAACACACACACATACACACACATACACACACACAAAAAAAACTTTGCTGACAATTCATACATCTGTATCCTACTAGCCTTTGCAGCCTGCAATTGTTTGCATTGTCCAAAAATGCCAAACAACCAATCTGGTTATGTGTAATAATTGGGAAAGCCTACTTTAAAAATAACTACAATGTCCTCTTAACATCTAAGGGTCACAAATTGTTTCTATTTTTCATCTCTTTACAATAAATGTTATACATAATAGGTAAGTGATATAATTCTATGTCTCAGGTGAGGACACTAAAAATGGGAGGAGTAGAAAAATCCAGAATCTATATAATAAAAGCTTAAGCGACTATTACTGCGGAACGACTAGAATGACTGGTCGCTATGATGCGCACTGACCACCAGGGGGGGATGCTCAATGCAGGAGCTGCCCCCTGGTTGTCAGTGCACTTCCACAGGGGGAGGGCCACTCAGCCAGAAGCTGGGCTCCCCTGTGGGGATCAGGTCTAAGCTGGAAAGCAGAAACCTCTGAGGGGGGTACTGGACTGTGAGAGGGCTCAGGTCAGGCTGAGGGACACCCCCTCCCTCCCATGCACAAATTTTGTGCACCAGGCCTCTAGTAGTGATATAAGCATACATATGCTTTCAATATAAAATTATTGTCTAAATAGCATATTTAGCTGGAACTGCCAAGAAACTATGATTGTCACTGTATCTCAAAATCAGTTATCCTAACTATGGTAGCTTAATGTTCTTCACAGGGACTATTAAAAAGTATTTAAAATATTAATATCTGAATTCAATCTGTTTATTTTTTTTCTTTATCTCTACCAACACCTTTAAGAATTCAGTGCTCCAACCAAATTGACTATGCACATTTTATTCATTCATTCACTGATCTAATCATTGTTTATTAAGTGCCTATTACGGCTAGCAACAGAGCTTTGAAGAAACTCATGGTCCATTGGTTAGATGAAAAGCAAACTCCACCTTGGAGCTGAGCATACTATCTGCTGTGATAAAGGCATGTGCAAAAGATTACGGCAGTACAGTCTACTGCATTCTCCAGGGATTTAGGAAAAGCTTCCAGAGGATTTGTCCCTTAAAGGCTAAACAGGGGACAGCAACCTAGAAGAAAGATTCATGAAGTAATTTAGAAGTTTGTAAGATTGAAGCACTAGTTCTGGGTTGGTTATTTTTAGGCCATGGATATTATATTTGGATGAAATCTTCACAGATACTTAGAAACAAGTGTTCACCTAGTACTTTGCTACTCAAAACCACACACACATACACACACACACACACACACACACACACACACACACACACACACACGAAATGAGTGCCTGTTCCTTTTAAGGCTATTTTGGAAAAGTCCAAAATCTGTATTATGAAGAATGGTCCACACCTAAATAAGAATTAGATTTACAGTCTGGGTCAGAGACCACTATGGGCACTGCTCTACTTGCTCCCCTCCCCACCCCAGCTAACTTAACTCCTAGGCTGTAGCAGATATTGCTAGGAAAAGTAGAAACAATTGCTTTCCCTCAATATTATTTGTGTACCTTCTGGTGAGAGGATATGCTGCTAAGCAATAACTGTGGGCTCTCCTTGTCACGCACAATTAGGTGTGCACGAGAGGCCAGCTGGGTGCAGTCAAACCTGCCCAGAGCATGCATCACTTTGATAGGAAATAATTAAGGTTGTTGACTAGGAAGAGACGCTGAGCTAGTTAGCTACTTTGGCATGTATTTCTGACACTCTGGGAAGGTATCTTATTATAGAAGAATGTGGTCTTTTTGCTGTAGCCCATGGTCAGGCCGGTTTCCTGTCCTGATTTGCCCTGGATGTCTACTGCATGGGCATTTATGAGCAGTGCCCTATTCCACACCCAGAAGTACATTACTTATTGTAGGTTCACTCAATTTGTGTACTTTTAAAACTATTGTGTTTGGCAGGAGGGCTTTTGCTCCCACCCATGAAACTCTGTGAATATAGGAAAAATCTTGGCTAACATTTCCACCTGACTCTGGTAGTTGGTACAGATAGCATGAAGCATAAACCAGTATCCATGGTTTGTACTTAAAATCTCCTCTCAGAATGATCCTGTTGGAAGCTCTGAAACTGAATTCAAGTGTTGGAAGAAGTAGAGGATGACCTTTTAAATCGAAGGGGTCAATATTCGCACAGTACTGAAAACAGTCTTTCCTCAGGTTCACTTCCTTTTAGGAAGAATTATGGGAGTGTTTTTAAATGTTCAGTAGCTAGACTCAAAAGATGAACCAAGATTCTGAGGCAACCTTTCTGGCCTCATTGCTTTGCCAAATCGTTAAAAATGAATGCTAATATTGGTGCTAGTCATAAATTTAGGCCACACATTTTATTGTTAATTACTCAGAATCTGTGATTTTAAACATAGACCAAATAATACAACATAAATAAAGAGGTTCATGTCAGTTAAATGCATAAAAGTTAAGGTGAAGTTACATGTCTAATGTTATATAAACATTTTTAATATAGTACTTATGAGAATAAATCATCAAAAGATTAAAACAAAATTTTGATAAGAATTTGAATCTTAGAAAAACTACCTACTTATTTAGTGGAATATGCCTTTTGTTTATATTATAGAATAGTTTAATGGGTGAAATTATTTCTTCATTTTTTTCTGTAGTTTCTGATGATTAATGAAAAACACCTTGTTTTAACTAGCCACACAAAATTTTCAGTCATTATTTCCAATATAAGTGGAATCTTGCTTCATAAAGTTCTCAATGAAAATGAAAGGAAAAAAAATGAGGAAACACAAAATGGGGAAGGAGAAGGAAGACAAAGGAAAGAAGGAAGGTGGGAAGGAAGCTCAAACAATTTCAAGCAATTTTATACATAAGGAGAACCCTATTAGCAGGTATTTGTGTACAAAAAAATCTTATTACATAAAGATGTGCCGTCTAGGAGTTTAAGTATATGTCATGTACCCACCAACTAGTAATTTGTCAACCTATAGAGCAAGGGCACTATAGCTGATATTGCTAAATAGTTTACACTTACTATTCCAACTAGAAATATGTCAGTATTAAAATATACCTGTACCCAAAATGCCTAAAGGAAACTACATTGCACTGTACTAAATATTCAACAAGGTGTTTTAGTTTTAGTGCAGTGTGGTATTATAGGTGTTATCTTTTATATGCTTGTAAAATCTCTGGACATTATCCTTATAAATTGCAAGGTCTTCCAGTGTCTGCAAATCGATTACAGAAAAGCTTTTTCAAGACAAAAACTATTTTTTCTTCTGCTATTATTCCAATTTTCCAGCACAAAGCATATACTCAGCACAGAATGTATTATTTTTATTATAAATCTATGCTTATTATAAAGATTAATGCTTAGATATACACACCATTCTTCAAGGTATACTGTAAATAGATAAGAGTCAGGAGATTAAAGAACTAATGAAGGTAATTAAGGTAAAGAATGTGAAGGCTTTAGACTTAATCCATGGTGGGTGAGCATAACAGTTTCCACACTGGCAGAAGATAGCATATTAACAGACCTATACACTGCTAATAAGTAGGTAAATACATTATGGCACTTTATTATTGTTTATTGATTTTAAAAAATTAGTGTTTGCTTTCATACTATCATCCACTCTAATATTTTTGAACCTCTAATGGGCACTTAGTTTGTCAGATCTTATTTGAAACTGTCTTCATAATTTACTCTGCGGATAAACTGTGTCTGGAATACTTGGCCTCAAATGTATTCATGGGTTTGTATCTTGGGAATATACAGAATTGGTGGAGTCTTTCCCTAAAGCCAAGGATAATGTACTATTATCCTTAGAAATAAAACTGAATTAGTGATTTTTGTAAAAGAACTAATGAAGGGGATGAATAGTTGCCAAGAGCTTATGTTTTAGACACTACTGTACTACTAGGTACTTTGCATAACATTAGCACAAATAATCCTGAGGAATTAGTATTCCTGCTCAGCAGATTGGGATCCGAAGACCTGGCAAGGTTAGGGAGTTTATCACTAAAAGTCCCATTCACAAAAGAGGGTAGAACCGGATTCCACCTTACAACTAGCAATGGCACCCCAAGTGTAGGATGTTTCCTCTCAGTGACAGACTGAGGACCTGAGCTAAGGTGTGGGGTGAAAAGGGGATGAAGAGTAGTTAATTCCTTTCAGTCACCTCTGATTGCTAGAAAAAACTGTTTCATACATTGCCCTTTTCATTAGTTCTCAGTCAGTCCCTAGGTTTCTTTTCTTCCTAATTGTGTTTTTCTATAGTAGGCATGATTTTAAAAGATGTTTTAGCTATTAAAACATATTAAAGATTTACCATAGAAAATAATGTAAAATTGTAGATATCTAATTAATATATCTAATTAATAAATTCAGCCATAAAAAAATGTTTCCAATCCTCTTTGGAGAAAATCTCTCTCCTCGAGTT